ATTTTCAATATCATTCATGCCATTTTACTTCAAACGCCGCGGACATACCCTTAGGAAATCAAAGTATTTTTCAACCATTTTTCGAGTCATTTCACTTCTTAACTCATCAATTTTATACAATGAATTACAACACATTTTATTTACAATAAAATGTAGCAAAATATACTCCTATACCACCCTCTAGGTCGAACACTACAAGGACATAGACAAAGGTTCTTTTTCTTCACTTACACGTAACTTACACATACAAATACATGTTTTCATAAGGTTCCAACTTAATTTTTGGAGCATAAAGTCCCTCCAAAGCCCCACAAGGCCTAAACCTAAGGGCATATTTCATATAATTTTTCCCACTTTGGCATTCTCACTAATTTATCAAATTTCCACTTAATTCCTACACATTAAACCTTCCTAATACTTAAGATAAAATTTTTGCACAACAACCTATTCTTCACCTATGATGGCCGAACATGTAGAGGAAATCATAGGATTTTTTTCTAATTTTTTTACATACATACAAATGCTTATTTTCATTTCTTACATCCAAGACATCAAAGATTCATCATTAAATCAAGGTTTAATACACAATGCTTTCCTACCAAAACATACTCATAACTTTTATAACTCAAATCATCAAAATAATACCATGGAAATAGAGGTTCATTACCTCCAAAAGCTTATACAAGGTCTAGAAGGTGACCAACAAGTAAGACTCCACCAAAAACCCCCTTTTTCACCTTGGATGAATAGTAATCCGAAAATGGAGTGATGAATATCTCCCTCCACAAACGAAATCAGCTCAAATGGAGGGGTGGAATAGCTTCCTTGGACGATTTCCTATGAGATTGGTATATTGGGTGCAAGATTTGGTGGCTTAACCATGGAGAAATCAAAGAAGGAAGAAGACAACCCCAAACCCTTCCCCCATGGCTGCAGCTCGGTTTTGAGAGTGAGGAGAGGAGAGAGAAACTGATTTGGAAATGAGACTTAAGTGACTTAAAAAGGTGAGCACATGTGGCCTTTTACCCGGGTATTTTTCTTTCGCGTATTTTCACTTAAACTAACCCGGAACTAACTCAAAGCTACAAATATATTTTTATTTTTCTAAAATCATTTATATTACTTTTTAATTCTTACAAAACAATATTCATAATTCACAGTATGATTTTTGCACCGTTTTTGACGAAATGCACTGTGAATCACTAATTGTACTTCATTTACTTATGAAACTTAAACTTATAAACTTATCATTTTCTTGGGCCTATATTGACTTGTTTGGCATATATTGGACTTTCTTATTCTTATTTCATCAATTATTTGTTTCTGGGCTCTACCGGTTGCTTAAACAGCAGTACAAAATACCCGGTAGAAACACTATTCACGAGATTTTCACGGAAAGTGCCAGACTATACAATTTTTCGTTCTGAACTCATATTTGTCGTCAGAATTATCAAATTATGCCTCTAAAATTATTTTTCTCTTTTTAAGCTCTACCGGTTAATTCACAAAACTGTAAATTCTCCGGCAGAACGCACTGTTCATAACATAGTCATGATTACAGTCAAAATACTCGGAATCACACACTAAATCTAATTATGGCATTTAAATCCTTAAATTAAATCTCTAATTAAGATTTACCATTTAGGGTCATTATAGGATCAAATTGGTCATATGAGATCACAATCAAATGAGCACTTGATTACCTTGGCTTCAGAGCTTGTAAAACGTATTCAGAAGCATTAAGGGGGAAGGTTATCCAGCCCCAATGAGCTCCCTAATACAAAAAGAAATTCTACATTAATTATGAAATAGAAAGTCTAACAGCATGAATACTGCAATAACGATTACTGACTATTGCCTACAAACTGAGCAATATAAAACTATCAATACAACAAAATTCATGCATAATTCACCTAAATTTCTAGAATACTGTTTTTAATCCCAAAAACTTACAATTTATCATTTATTTTTTTCTTCAACAAAAGGTTATGATTGAAACTTCAGGCCATTAAAAATGGCCTTACAGAAGCAATCATGACGATATATGCTCTTCCTCACCAATATATATAAAAGTAAAGAAAATATGATCACAGGTGACACATCCTTTTCATAGAATGATTTTATGACCTAATACACTGAACCGTTTATTTAGAGAACCATGAATAAAATTGTAACATCCCCGTCTCGAGCCGGTTCAATTAACATGCATATGATATAAACAGAAACAGCGGAAGACTTAACTTACGAAAAATACGAGCTAACTTTTTCTTTTTCTACTTTGATTCTTACTCGGCGTAAACGAAAATCGGGCAGAGTTTCCTCTATAAATCAGACAACTGGGGATTTTCCAATCCCACTCACAAGCATTTTCGGATAACAGTTTATACAGCACATCAATCCAGAAGTACCAGTCATGCAGATATAATCAGATACCCATCCATGGGCGCATGCATAACTTGGCTCAGTGCCGCTAATCTAACAGCATGCAATCCAATACATAATCATAACTGAATACTACATCATCATATAACGTTCCTGAATACTCAAATGTACATGCATCAAACTGACAGGCATGTACAAAACATATACATGCCATATTCAAAATAAAGGATCTAACATCAGGATCCATCAATTAAAAAATTACGAAATACATAAATGCATTCCAAAATAGAAGTAGCCTACAACTACTCAAAATCCAATCCGTCCAAATCCTTAGCCACGGGTTGTGTCCCTGACTAGAGAGGTCTCGCCGGGAATCTGGGCACCTGAAAATATGGCCCCAACGAGGGGTGAGATTACAAATCTCAATAAGCTCCAGGTTTATAGAGAATTCTCCATACCCCTGGCTCACTCCTGCATGAAAGTCAGATACAGAGTATACGAATACAACATATAACAGATATCATAACATAACAGAGCATATATCCATATCATATCAGAGATGTGCGCCGTCATTCCCAAGGGAGGACCCCAAGCGAAAATCAACGCACGTGTTCCCGAGGGAGGACCCCAAAGCGGAACCAGACATATCAGAGGCGTACACCATTAGTCCCGAGGGAGGACCCCAAAGCGGACATCAGGGTACTATACAATCAATGGCCAGAGATTATTACAGAAATCATCTTACAGAAGTCATATCAGAACAAAACATATCATGTTATCAAATAGCTCTATATGAATGCATCTATACAAAGCATCAAAACAGTCATACAATCCAACCACAGTTCACTAACTATGGTGGAGCACTCAAGTAGGAAAAGACTCCTTAAACATAGAGCTTACCTCTTGAAGCTTTAACAATCTGCTTACTTGTGGCTCAAGTTACTTATATCGCTTCAATAGAATTCCACTCCTTTTCAATCCTTAGGCATACTTAGAGAAGAATTTACAATAGAATCAATAAAATGATACTATGCCATGATCCTTTCCCAAAGCATACATTTTATCGCTTATTTTCATTTCTTTACATTTTTGCCAATCCTATGCCAACACACAAGTCTAGACATCTTTATAACCGTTGGTGTTCTTTATTTTAATCAAACATCCCCTTAGGAATTTTCAACATAACTCATGTTATTTTTCTTCAAAACTCATAATTAATGTTGAATTGAGTTTGTAAATTTTTTGTTTATGACATTTCTTTCTATCCATTCAGGCAGTCTTTAATCCTCCCAAACCAGTACGAGGAGGAATTCCAATCTGTTTTCCCCAGGTATAATTTTTATTTTATTTTATTTAATACTATCTAATACTAAGTTACATATATATATATATATATATATATATATATATATATAACAAGTGGGGTTCTCGTAATTTTTCCAGTTTGGAAACCGTGGATCGTTAGAGCAACATGGATTTGCCAAGAACAAGATATGGGTCATTGATCAAAATCCAACATGGATTTTCCATTCACCTGTGCCTGTGCAAGTGAATGGCAGAGGAGGAAAAAAAAAGAGGTGGAGAAGGAGGAGGAAACATTCAGAATCAGGGTGGAGGTAACAAAAATAATGGTGGCAAAAATGGAGGTGGGGCACACCACAGGCTAAAAATGGTGGAGGTGGAGGAAACAAGAATGGTAACAATGGAGGGAATAATAATAACAATGGGGGTAAAAAGGGAAATCCAAATCATATAGGTGAAGGTGGTGTTCAAGCCATGAACAACGGATATCAGAACATGGGGTGGTCCCTGAACGGTATTAGAGAGAGGAGAAGAAGAAGGAAAAAAAAGAGTGAAAAGCTATCAAACGACGTCGTTTTTTTGTCCATGTGGCTTTTCCATGGTGACTCAACAACTTAACGGTACACATCAGCACAGTTAGTAACGAAGTTAAAGCCCCACTAACAGATGGACTAACGTGGCTTGTTTTTTACAATTTCAGGGACCACGATGTTCCTTTTTAATTGCTGGGGACCAAAGAGGGCTTCGTAGAATTTGTCAAGAACGAAAAAAGGATATTTACTCTTAATCTTATTATTCCTAATGAAAATTTTTATGGACTTTGTTCATGATTTTTTATTTTTCAATAGGTATCAAAATAGGCTAAAATCACATATCAACCCGCAAAGCCTTATGTAAGCCCTAATTCTTTTGGATAGAGGATTGTTTTAGTCCTAACCCCCAACTTTTGTTAAATACACAAGCTCGTTCTTACAACTTTCAGTGTGTAATTAAAAAATTGGGATTCATCAATTGAATTAATTTTCAAATATTAACGCAAGGACATGTGCTTGCATTTTACAAAAATACTCATTCAGTCAATTTTAATTTTAGTGCCAACACATTCAATAGAATTATATAGATGTAAGTGTTGGAATATGGAGATAGGCTAATCCCCAATATCTTACAGCTACTCGTTCTCTTTTAAAAAATATTTTTGCCGTTCTTATGATATGTCTGGCTCAAATTCGAATTACTCGCCGATGGTAATTAAAAAAAAAAACACATATGGGACTGTAAGCAAAGGCCAGATTATTGAAATTTGAAGCACATTTATACCAAATAAAGGCCAATTCAGTTAGGCTAAGAGAGAGAGAGAGAGAGAGAGAGAGAGAGAGAGGCACACAGGAGTTTGAGTTGGCACACACATTCATGTTATTAACAAAACTTGATACACAGTCACATTAACCAGCATATCCATGACTACCAACACCATCAAGGCTTTAACCCCAAACAGCAATTATTATTTCTGGCTTTGGGCATTGACACTATCAACTGAAAGTTAATTCTACATTGATTAAGCGTCGGCGATTTCAGCAGACTCTGCAGCAGCTAGCACAAGCTCAGGGTGAATGTTTGTTGCATAATCAACAGCATTTGGAAGTCCCAGTGATCTCAGCGCCAAATGGGCTGCCTTCTGTCCTGATATCATCATTGCTCCAAATGTTGGACCCTGCATTTCCATTGGGCCCAGGCCCAAAACAATTAGCTTCTTTATTTCATTTTATCAAATAAAAGAAGGGTTTCGATTTTCTTACGCGGTAGAATTAGGAAAAAAATTTCTCATGCTACAGATAAATCTTATGTAAAGTACACATCTATTAAAAAATAAAAAAATAAAAAAATATTAAACGAAAATTGAAAGATCATTAATAGGAGAAAATATTTTCCTATAAAAAAACAACATATCAACAACAAAAACAACTAGAGCCTTATTTCACTATATAGGGTCTGCTACACAAATCAAATTGTGTCATTTTCATCAATCGAAAACCAACTTTTTACGAGAACCATTAAACTCAAGCTTTTTTTTTTTTTCCTCCATCGATTATCAAATTGATCAAAATTTATATCCAACTAATTATCACCCAAAAGAAATATGTACAAATAAAATAACCAGAAACAACAAAATTGCACAAGGGACAAACAAGAAAGATGCCATGAACATAATAAATTGCTAACATTTGCAGACTAGGGACCCTGAGCCTTTTTATAAAGAGAGTTGTCTCATTAGTTATGATTTAAATTCCTTTTCAGTGCTATGGTTGGTGTTGGACCCATCACCTTGTCAATATGCATTATAAAATAATAACATAAAAGAAAAAAAAATAAAAAATTTGAGTAGTGGAATTTGAAAATTAAAAGGTAAAAATTTACCATTCTTGGAGCACCATCAATCTCAGCCACTTCCATCCCAGTAACAATCATTCCAGGCACAACCTCCCTGGTGAGCCTCACAATAGCATCCTCTGCTGTATTCATGTCAAGGGCCTTCATCCCTGGGACACTATCAATCAACCCAATACTCTTGAGCCTCTTCACCCCAGTAGCTCCAAAAGGGCCATCATGCCCACAAGAACTCACCACGACCTTGGCCTCCATAACATTAGGATCCATGCATGATTGAGTGTCATGGTTCATGGAAACCAAGGCCCAATTAGTCACAACCCCACCAACTCTCCCATTCTTCACAATCAAATCCTCAGCTGCCACAGCATTGAAAAGCTTCACGTTTGGCCTAGCCAGGAGCTTGCTCATTATGGTAGATGTAAACAAAGCAGCGTGCTTGATCACCACGTAGTTGTCTTGCTCATCATACTCAACACCAATCTCATCTAGGAAAATATGTGCTGGCTTACGCACTACCTGCACTCACCCACATCCACACACAATTAGATATTATATTTCTGACTGTTTTCTAATCTGGGTTTTCATCAGATTATTCATCATCTTCAGAATTTTCATTGTTTGTTTCTAATCGTTGATATGAAACAGACCACCAAGCCCACAACACTCCTTATTCATGCCAAACCAGTTCAACTCTTCAAATATCTAATCATCAACAAAAATAATAAAAGAAATTTATAAAACCTTTTTTAAGAAAAATAATGAGTACAGTGTAGTACTCATATATTTGCAACGCCATCTAGAACAGTGACTAAAATGTCATCTTTTCGCAAAAAAATTTATTCAAATCACATACCAACAATACTTTTTATCAGACTACCACGTAATCATAATTCGCTACGACATGTGGCACACTAATTATATGACATGACATGTGGCACACTTTCGCTTCACAGGTAAAAGCTAACGCATCATAACTCACAAGCGAATTTCATCTGCAATATGACACGAAATCATTGGTCACGAAATTCGTTACCAGTTAGCGCGAATTATGGTATGCATTTGGGTAAAAAATTGACAAAATATGATCACTGTTCCTAGATGGAGTTATTAATTATTTATTAATCATAGATTATATCTAATATTTGTTTAATACCTTTATTAATTTATATCAAGTCCCACAAAAACCATAATTAGATATCTGTACCACAAAAAAAAAAATGATAGTAATAATAATAAAATAATAAAGAATTTAACATTTAAAGGACACAATTTTATTTCATTTATTTTTATTATATTAAATAAAATAATAATACTTTAATATATATTTATGAAAAAAATATTTCTCCTTTAAAATAAAAAATGTATTTCCCAAAATAAAAATAATAAATTATATGCTTTTTATAATAAATAAGAAAAAAAAGGTTACCATGGCAGAGAAGAGTTGGCCACCGAGCCAAGCGCCACCACCGGGACTAACGGATTGTTCAACGATGGCGATCTGAACGGAAGGGTTCTTGCTGAGTTCATAGGCGCATGATAGCCCAGCGGAACCGGCACCCACGATGACAACATCGGTGTCAGCGTGTGTAACCATGTCGGTCATGTACCTGCGGGTCATTTCCCGTGACACGATCGACTCCTTTATGGGATCGAACCTGAAGGAGCACAGGTCATAGGGTGGTGGTGAGGGTGCCGCTGCTGCTGACATGGAAGCACAGAGCCTGCGTGCCACGTGGGGTTTGGTTGGTTGAAGGCGAAGGGTAGGGGTGACATTGAAGGATGAAGGTTTGTCGAAGAGAGAAGAAGGGTTTGGAGTTTTGGTGTAGAGGAATGAGGAAGTGATGGTTGAAGCCATGATCAAACTGAAGTAGAAGCAGAAGCAGTTAGTTGTAGTGTGTGAACTGTGAAGTGAAGAGACTGGTGGATTTGGATGGATGGAATGGGATTATTTATGGATGAGAAATTGGGAATTGAAGTGGGCCAAAACTATGCGTTTTTTGAAATTTCCATATTCAAACAATGAAATTTTTGTGACATCATTGTTTAAACTGCATGGACGACACGTGGCAGATCATCGGAAATGAACGGTGCAGAATTTTATACCAGGAATATGCCTCGTAAATTTGTCACTCATTATTTAATTTTAAATTATTAAGGTTTAGATATTAAGAGAAAAAAAAAAAAAAAAAGTTCCTAGAATCACCTTAGTACTGGCTTTTGACTGTTATAGTCAAAATCAATTGTACAGGTACAGGTACACGTACACGTACACTAATCCCGCGAGCATACCAATGTCGTCACGTACTCACGTGTCTTCATCTCATAAACAGGTCACGAGTTTAGTGTGTTTAAGTACCTTTGTCATCAGTGAACATGTCTCATTCTAAGCCGTAAAGAGTGGGTTAAGGATATGGCTAATTTGATGGAGGAGAAAATATTATTTTCGGTTCTTAGTTAATTTTTATGATTTCCGTTTTAATTATTAGAAAATAAAAAAATTATTCGTGATTATTAAAAAATTTAAAAATGATCCATTTTAATTCTTTTGAGGAATTAATATGAATTTTTTTTAAATTTGTGAGGGATCATGATTTCAACTAAATGAGTCTATTTTGAATTTTTTAAGGATTACGAATAGCCTTTTTTTTTATTTGCTAGGGACTAAAGAGGACTTCGTGAAATTTGCTGAGAACCAAAAAAGATATTTACTCTAGGTTTAAATATCGGTGTAAAAATTGTAAAAAATAAAATATATATTATATATAGGATTCGCTTTTTCTACCGTCAATGTAGATAATTTTTCTACATTAAACTCAAAATGACGTTGTTTTGAAGCGGAAATTAAAGTACTTTTAATTTTTAACTCAAAACGACGTCGTTTTAAGAATATATATATATATATATATATATATATATATATATATATATATATATATATATATAGTGTAGCTGGTTTTATTAGATTCGATTGGCTCCATACGATTAATTTATCTAAGTAAAAATGTTCTGAATTACATTTTCATTAATGTTAGTGGGAAATTAATTAATTAAAAGCAATTAATTATTTCATTAAAAAGATTCGATTGATTATTAATTCATTCCACATAATTAATTCACCAATTTAGAAAAGTTCGGAATTTGATTTGTCATTAATACTATTGGGAATAAAATCAAAAGTAATTTAATCTTATTCTATAAATCGATAATTCACAATTGATTTTATAAAGCATACAAAGAATCTTTACATTTATTAATTGATTTAATATTATTCTATAAATTATACCAAGTAAATACCTCTTCATTTAACAAGTAAATTAATTCGATTGAATTTTGGTATATGTAATAATAAATTTATGACAATTAATTGAAAGTAATTTATGGCAAAGATGTATTTTTTCATATAATTATAAATTTAAATAATTTAATCAAAATTAATTTAATGCAGTTAATATAATTATCAAATATGAATGGCCAAGTAATTTAATATGATTTAATATAAAAAATAATAATAATTGTAATTCTTTTATATATCAATCAACCTAGATTTAGATCTAGAAAATATGAAGAGAAAAAAATTGAACTACATCATTTAATCTAAATCATTTTATAAAAAAAAAAGGTAATGTAATAATATAATTCAAATATTTTTATTTATAAAAGAATTCACAATTGATTTTCAAAATCATGTTATACTAAGCATTTCATAATTAATGAATGAATATTTCAATATAAAATTTTTGACATAAAAAGTATGAATCTTATAGTATAACATGATTTTTTATTTTATGTCTTACCCTTAAAGTTCGGTTTTGAAAATTATAATATTTGACAATTATATAAAAAATAATCATATTTGACATTAAATCAATTTAGGTTTAAAGTCGTCTTTATTGTCACATTCATTAAAACTCAATCACATTAATTAAATTACTTATAAAATGAAGAGACACGCTTCGTAGAATAGCATTAGATTGTTTTCAATTTTATTTCTATTTGTGTTACGGACAAATTATATTTTAAAAATTTTTAAATTAGGTGAATTAACCAAATCGAGGAAGTTAATAATGCATCAAATCTAATTTTAATGAAATGAGAAGATATCTTGCGATATTGCAACATTCGAATTTCGGTATCATTAGTATATAAAAAAGTTTAAAATTGTACTACAAAAAATTTAAAAAAATAAACTACTAGACCCTACCCCTAGTCTATCTGAAACATGCTAGATGATGACGTGTTTTTCAAATGTTTCAAAGCACATAGTAGCGAAGAAGACACTTGGGAATTAACATGTTTCTGCTTCATCATAACACTATTTATGTCTTTATTTATTATTAAAAGACAAATCACCATAACGGATATTAATTTAAAGAGATTGACCACAATGGTCATTAATTTAAAATAATTTTAAATTAGTAAATTTTATAGATAATAAAATTTAAGGTAGATGTACTAAATAAAAAATAAAAATAAAAATGTAGAACCAACTTACACCTTTGATCAAGTGACTCAGACTTCTTACCACCTTTGCCAAAAGAGTTTAGTAATATTTTTCTCTTTAAAATAACATAGAATTGTATTATTTGTAAGAAAAAGAGTTAGACAATAGAAATTATAGTGAAAGAAAGTGGTAGGTTTTTTTAATTTAAAAGGACAAATATTTTTTCTTATTTTCTATATCAAAATCATTTTCTTTGAATTTTTTTAAATGTTTTGTGTTATAAAATGAAGTAATTCAATTATATCAAAATTATTTATGTCTTCGTCTTGTCTTATTTGCTCTCTACTGGTATTTACCACTCCAAATCCACATCTAAATTTGATGTCCTAAAATGATGGAATCATTTTGGACTATTATCTCTTAAATTCAACAAGTGGCATTCATTAAAATAAAAATAAAAAACATTCACACACACGCGAGTTCTATCTATGGTCCAAAGTCAGAAGCAGAGTGGGCTTGATTAATGCTAACCGAAGTTCATGCGGGTCTGGGTCCGCGTTCAACTTTTTTTTTCATGGACATGGTGGTGGGTCCCATGATTTTCCATCATTCCTACGCTTTTTGTGATATTTAGCCACTATCTTTCCTTTTTTTCTTTGTTATTTCGGCCTTTTGTTTTCTAAGGACGGGATCACGGATGGTATCAAAATGTAACTGTTAATGTTGTCGTTTTCTCACTGTTGGAAATCATGAAAGCAGCTTTCAAAAAGCAAACATGTTTGGATTATCTTCTAGTGCGTTATATGTGCAGTCTTCTGAATTATCACTATTCCTACGTGGGTCATTCATTACTCATTATGATGACTCAAGTTGGATTTCTTTGGATTATCTTTTGTTTGCATGCAGATCTCTGAATCTGTGTGATGTCATGAAAAGGATTTCCGACTAACTACTTGGTGTCGGGTGCAAACCATCATTATCCGTATCACGATAACTAAAGAAATAAAAAAAGTTTATAAATATCTTTAATTTTTAAATTTTATAATTATATTTGTTTAAAACAGCTTTTATTTTATTAATATATTCTCTCTAATTTCACTTCATAAAATATCAACATAAAAAAATGAAACTAGAAAAAAATTAACTTCTTCTAATATAATAGAATGATTACAAATTTGAAACTAACAATTTTTTAACAATCGAAGAGAATAAATAATTTGTTACTATGGAATTTAAAACATTAAATAATATTTTAGAATCAATAATATTAACATTATTTTTAATTTATTAGAGACCGAAACCAAAATAAGTGGAAATACACAAACTAATACTCAAAAATAATAATTATAAAGACCTATAGTCAAATTAGTAGAAAATATAATAAGCAAAATCTTATTTAAACTTATAAAAACGACGATTTTCTGCTCATAATAGGCTCTAAAATTTCTCTTTTAAATCTTATGGCATGAACTCTACAATTAGTAGTAAACCTCGAAAACATGACACAAAGGTTGAAATTTGTGGTTAAAGAAATTTAACCATTGCTTTACATACACTAGAAAAAAAAAATATTAACTGCCCATTCTTATTTTTTTGAAGAATCTATGTTATATATGTGTTTTTATGGTTACATAAATTGACTTTACATTAATATTTTTGACCATTTATAAACAAATATTTAATAATAATACAAAAGCACCTTAATTTAAAATTAAAGTGCTTTTGACAATAAACAATTAAAAAAAAACACAGAAGAGAGGCAACCAATTAAAAGAAAAAAAAAAAAAGCATAAGGAAGTAAGTGGTTAAAAAGTTTTTTAACTCTTTCATTACAACAATTAAAAAAAATTGAGAAAACTATGTATAAAAAAAAATATGAAAAAACTTAGATGTGAAAAACAATATCAAACTCAACAAGTTAATGTGGGTATATGAACATTGCAAATAAATAGTATTTTGTTCAATATTTGTTGCCAAAGGAAAAAAATTTAATGCCTCGTAACAAAATAAAAATTCAGATGAACATTGATATAATTTTTTTTACACTTTTTTTATATAATTAAATTAGGATTAGATAATGTAAAGTTCATAATTTTTTTGGAAATGTTAATCAATTTGTTAATGGGTGCTCTATTTCTATTATTTTATTTTAAGTATTAATTTTTAATTTATTAAAAAATAAATAGATAAAATTAAAATAAAAAATAAAACTATTATTAAGACAATATAATTTTTCCTTGAGTAATTATAAACATATATATGAAGAAGATAATCTAATTCAACAACCCAAAAATATAAAATACACATCTCAATGACAAACATATATATGAGAAAAACTACTCTTATGTTACATGTGATAAATTTTTCTTTTAGACAATCTTCGATAACTGTGCCACCTTTTCTTTTCTTTTTATTTTTCAGGTGGTGGAGCCCACAAGTTTTTTCTCTATGACATGAGATAACTTATCTCCTTTAACATGAGATTAATAAAACCCTATATATATATAGAATTCATTTTTTCTACAGTCAATGTAGATAACTTATTTACAGTGAGCCCAAAACGACGTCATTTTGAGGCGAAAATCAAGATATTTTTGTAATTATAATTTATTTCAGGGGTATAATAGTTTTTTTCATTATAAATTTTTAATCTTTCAACTCAAAACGACGTCGTTTTGTGAACGAATGTAGATAAGTTATCTACATTCCCTTTAGAGACATTAAAGCTATATATATATATATATATATATATATATATATATATATATATATATATATATATATATATATATATATGAGATTTGATTTTCTCATGTTGCATGATAATTGAATTCTCATGTTGTGACTCAACTAGTGGTGAACCCCACATTTATTAAAAAAAAAAAAAAAGCTTTGCATGCAAATTGGAGGGTCACAACATGATAATTGAATTCTCATGCAACATGAGAAAATGTTTTCCCTATATTATATATGAGATAGGTTATTCTACCTACCATTTTTTCTGTCTACCTTTGCCTACCACTTTAAAAGACCGTTAGATCATAATTTAAAGAGGAGAGAGAAAGATAAATATTAATTAAAATTCTGATCTAAAGGTATTTTAGAGTGATAGCAAAAGTAGGCAGAGAAAGATATATATATGAGACAACTTACACCAATCTTAACCGTTGATTTTCGTTCATCAAACGACTGTAATTAATTATATTATTCTCATTAATTAATTATTAATTATAAAAGTTAGATATGCGAAAATCAACAGTATTAATTATAAAAGTTAGATATGCCACTATCATATAAAAAAATTATATTATTAATTGTTTCCACAATTTCCCGTTTAATTTATGAGACGTTTGCAAGGAAAACTACCTGTTATAAAACGATTGACCTCCTACCTTTCTAAGATAATTTTAAATGCTTAACACAAATTAATTCAATTAAATAATATGACGTGAATATAACAGAAATAAAATTTGTGCCATTAAGTTATATTTACTCTCAGAATATATAAGAATTTCTCTTTAAAAAGGTGAATTTTGAAGTGGCAGTAAGCGTACAAAATGCTCGAGCCTTTAAAGCCACACTTTTTTTATTTTTAATTTTCAGTTAAAAGACCCGCTAAATGAAAAAAATACAACTAATCATGCGGAGCGTAAAAATGATGAAACCATTTATAAAAGGGTTATGTTTATCTCATTTTACATGAGATAAACAACTTTCCTACACACAAAAAAGGATTGAGTCACACCACTCTTTTTTCTCTCTCCTCTTAGGAGTAGGTCCCACTTGTAATTTTATCTCTACAACATAAGGTAATTACTTACCTACAACATAAGAAAATTATTTCCCTTTATAAAAATGGAGCACAAGAATCAAGACTAACGCATCTAAATATCAGATATGTAAAAAAAAAAAAAAAAAAATAGTGTAAAAAACCTTGAGATACACCACCCCAAAAGCTAGCTCAAAGAGTGGGAGTGCCCAAGACCTTATAAACTCCACATTAGTTGCACATACAACCAATGTGAGACTATATATCTCAACACGCCCCCTCACACGAGAGCCCATTAGGCTTGAAGAGTGGACAATGCAACATGCCCAGTCTACCTGTGCTAAGAAACGCCACAAGAGAAAGTGGGGGGCGGCGAGGCTCTGATACCATGTAAAGAATGATATCACCCTCCTTGAGGGATTTCGTTGCTATTTGTTTTTCAGGTTTTCTTAGTATGCTCTGTGACTGCAGCTTAGACTGATCTGTCACATCAGAAAAGAATGATCATTGGGAAGTTGTTGGGTTGACCACCGTTGTCGTTGACCGACCACCGTTGACCGCGTCGTCCACCGTTGACAGCCGTCTCCGGTAACTTTTTCGGCGACCCACCACCGTCTTCGACGACTTTTCCGACGACCCACCGCTGTCTCCGGCGACTTTTTCGATTCCGCGAAACTTTGTTTTTCTTTAATCTTCTTTCTTCCCAAGATGGAGTATTTATACTATTCATCATCCATCTTGAGGGGGAGCACTGCCCAAGTTGCTGATGTTGTCTCCGCTTATGTTAATTCCGACACCGAAGTTCCTCTTGAGGGGGAGCACTGTCCATGTTGCTGATGGTCATTCCAGCACAATTGTCTTTGCCGATGATAATTCCGGCACTATTTAGAAGTTCCTCTTAAGGGGAAGCACTGTCCATGTTGCTGATGGTCATTCCAGCACAATTGTCTTTGCCGATGATAATTCCGGCACAATTTAGAAGTTCCTCTTGAGGGAGAGCACTGTCCATGTTGCTGATGGTCATTCCAGCACAATTGTCTTTGGCGATGATAATTTCGGCACTGTTTAGAAGTTCCTCTTGAGGGGGAGCACCGTCCATGTTGCTGATGGTCATTCCAGCACTGCCGATGATCACTCCGGCATCTTCCATGTTGAAGTTCATTTCGACGCCATTTTTAGCACATTGTTGATTTTTGGTTTCTCATTTAGGAGATTTATTTTGATGTTATGTTACTTGGTCTTTCTTGTAATAAGCTTGTAACATAGTCAAGGGGAAACCACGGCTGCTCACCAACTGTTAAATGAAATGAAATGTCTGAGAGGGATCTTGATGTTGATGTCCTGATCAGCTCAGTTGTCTTGCCGATGATAATTCCGGCACCATTCATGCTCTGATACCATGTAAAGAACCTTGGGATACACCACCCCAAAAACTAGCTCAAAGAGTGGGAGTGCCCAAGACCTTATAAACTCCACATTAGTTGCACATACAACCAATGTGGGACTATATATCTCAACAAATTGCATAGAACTCCATCAAACTGTTTTCATATATGTCTTTAAAGCAAACATTACACGTTATAAAATCCATAATCCCACAATCACATGGTAGATAGAACACCAGAAAACACTAGAAAAATACCACAATCACATAAAACTCAAAACATCTATGCCTAACTCAGAGTAAGGCAGGTAAGACTTGATAATTGAGTTTCCAGCCGCTCAGAAACCATGAATCTTGATATGCTCCTTCTTCACTATACCAGCCTGTCCACGCTCACAAGTGAAAACCAATGAGAAAATTAGATAGAGATTCATAGTCCAATAAATTATTGGGAAATTCTTCAAGAAAAAATTCCAGATAAGAATCAAGGTTTTCTTGTCATCATGTGGCAACATATGATCAGCTTTCTACAATGTTACAGAGACCATCAATAACAAGATTGCAAAAGGTTCTGGGAAGATGCAACTATGATTTGACAAAAAAAAATTAAATCAGTTCCAACAATGATTCGCTCAAAATTAAGCTATATATCTGAAAGCACTATAAATAATTCCAAAACATTGGATATAGGCAAGCTACTACCCAATCAAAGCACATTTATTTGCTCTGAGAAAAAGGCACATTCTAATTTTTAACTCCCAAATTTATTGTCCATAGACTGACCAGCTAAGATTGCAACATCCAAATGACTTCTGAAGCAGTTTTTAAAAGGATATCCAGCCACTGCCCAATCACTATAATAATTCACATTCTAAACCCTAAACTCTAAATTCACTATAACTAATTCCAAAACATTGGATAGAGGCAAGCCACTGCCCAATCAAAGCACATTTATTTAGCTCTCAGAAAAAGTTACATTCCAATTTTTAACTGCAAAATTGATTGTCAAAAGACTGACCAGCTAAGATTGTGATGGGCTTGAAAGTGGTGAGTGGGTTATTAGTTTGTTAGTAAAGTTTCTAGAATATTCTTAAAAAGTAGGATAAAAGGAAGGCAGTGTGTGTAGTGAGGGAGACATGAATTCAGTATTGGTTTAGTGGGGAATTTGGAAATCTCTTGGGATCTCTTGAAGCCTAGGATGAGTTGAGGTCTCGAGTTGGGTCCTCTGCTGAATGGGGCAAAAATAGGGTAGGTAATTTGGATGTATATCACAATAGCCAGCACTAAAATGTGAATTGGGCCTGTTGGTCTTATTGGTAACATGGATAATATGAGAAGAACTAAAATGCAAACAGGGTCTGGAGGAAGTGGGCCACGTCATACAGCCCAAACTATTCTAAGTGGGGGTATGACCATTCAAGGCAGCCCAGTGTTTTCAGTAACACATAGGGCCGTCAATAACGACTCGATGGAGTAACAAGGAACATTATCTAATCGAAACCCTAATGTGGAAAACGTGGGACGGGAAAATTGGAGAAGAAACTAGTGTTTCGGATGTGATATGTTTTCCTCACCGAACTTGGTATGTTCGACATTAAGCAGGAGATTGGGATCGAGCGAAGTAAATGTGGTGGAGAATTTGGAGTTTCTTAATGAAGACAGAAAGAGGGCGCAAGAAGAGCAAGGATTACATGGCTGGAATTTCATACCATTGTACACTGTTTTTTGGCCAGAAACTCCACGAAAAATAAAAGCATGGGGACAGTGGAGTTATACTCTGTTTCATGGCCAAAAATCCAACAGAAAACAGAGCAGGGCAAAAAAGGCACGACAATTTGTAGGGTTGCAGTAGGACCCAATGACAATTCTTTGACTTCAAGCATAACTGGTTCTATACGCTTGTTTGGGGATCAAGCAAAGTAAATGTGGTGGAGAATTTGGTGTTTCTTAATGAAGACAGGAGAAGGGTGCAAGAAGAGGAAGGATTACATGGCTGGAATTTTATACCAGTGTACTCTTTTTTGGCTAGAAACTCAACGAAAAACAGAGCATGGGGACAGCGGAGTTATACTCTGTTTCGTGGCCAAAAATCCCACAGAAAACAGAGCACTAGAGGGCAAAAAAGGCACGACAATTTGTAAGGTTCCAATAGGACCCAATGACAATTCTTTGACATCAAGCATAATTGGGTCTATACGCTTCAAACAATGGGACCCGGGTGGAAGTTCTCTCACACTACTTGTTCTCCTCCTCCACCTTGAGGGCAGTTAGTTTTGGAGGGGAGTATTGATGGGCTTGAAAGTGGTGAGTGGGTTATTAGTTTGTTAGGAAAATCTTCTAGAATATTCTTAAAAGAGTAGGATAAAAGGAGGGGAGTATGTGTAGTGAGGAGGGCATGAATTCAGTATTGGTTTAGTGGAAAATTTGGGGATCTCTTGAAGTCTAGATATGTTGGCTTTGAGGGTGAGTTGAGGTCTATGGTGTTTTACTCTTTATTTCACGGATAGTCATTTTACTGTTATTTCCAATGATGCACCGACACCGACACGGGACACGACACGTCGACACGTTAATTTTAAAAAATGTTAGATTTCGACATGTTAGGACACGTTTTGATATTAAATAATATTTTTAATATACATAATATAATTTATATTTAATACATGTTGCAATTCATAATAAGTCATATAATTAATTTGATATTTGAATTTTATAATATAAATCAAAAGACAAATTTTTATCCCTTGAAACTTAAAATCAATGTGGCATTGTTTTTCGGATATTTAGTTTGTATAGTTTGTAAATTATGTTTTGGGACTAAATGGCTGGTGTACATATAACTAGGTATGTGCAGCTACTTTGTAGACCATTTGATTACATTTCCTCGAGCCTTGCTTTTGATTTGACATCACTTTCTTATTTTCATGCGTTTCTTACATCCAGTGGATGAGGATAAGGCTAATAAAAAAAATATACCGACTTAGTTTTCTCCCTTCGTTTTGTGGTTTTCTTTCTTTCTTTTCTTCTGTTCCTTCGTTCAGTTTGGAGGTTGATGATGGTGGTGCCATGCGACTCTTCGTTATTTGATGTTTTGAAGAGGGCGAAGGTGTATGAGGAGCGGTGCCACAACGTCACCGTCGTCTTCATCGTCGATCAGAAAGAACAATGATGTGTCGTTGGAGAGATTAATGATGGATGATGAAAGTGCAGAGCTTCTTCTCCTTAGTCCACAGATTTTAATTTTTTTAAAAATTCAAAATTTTTACGTTTTTATCCTTTGACCGTGTCGGACACGGTAAAAGTCGCGTGTCCACATAGTCAACGTGTCCTAAAATATTGACTACGTGTCGGAACGTGTCGGAACGTGTCGGAGCGTGACGATGTCCGACACGCATTTTTTCAAAAAAATAACGTGTCGGTGTATCACAGGTTATTTCTTTGTTGCGCTTACTCGTCATTGTCTCTGTAATGTCTGGGTACCGTTGATATCAATATATTTGGAGGTTTTGTTTACATTTGGTGTTGGTAAATCGGTTTCAAAGATCCATTATTCAGGGTTCCATCAGATTGCAACATCCAAATGACTTCTGAAGCAGTTTTTAAAAGGATATCCAGCTGCCTACACTACTACTAGGTTATTCCCAAAACTGAATAAGCAGCAGCCAAACGTACAATCAAGAAGTTTATTCTCTAAAAGAAAGCCATTCCAATAGGTTTAGCCTTTGAAACACTATTAACAAAAACAGGAAAGCAAAAAGTGGAGGGACACATGACAATTAAAATGAAGCAATTAATTAGGACAACATACTTATTGCATAACACAAAGATGAGGTTGTAGTTACCTGGACTAGGAAAGTAGAAACATTCTTCCGCTGATCACCTTGAAGTTGAATAACCTACACCCACAAAACAGATGTTATTTGAAGCAACAAGGGATAGATCAATGTTTAACAGGAGGATGCCAACACAGACCTGTCCTAGTTCTGGGTCCTGAACAACTGTACCATTGCAACAGAATTCTTTCTTAAGGTCTTTAAGTATCTTGTTATAGCTGAATTCTTTCTTCAATCCCTGAACGGTTGTCAGGCTCTTCCTACCATTCCGCTGCTGTATGCGAATATGCACATACTCCTTTGACCCAGCACCCGAGTCGTCAGCATTTGCCTCAGCAAAAGGATCTATAATTTGTTGGCACACAGCAAACACATTATTTACATTACAATCATTAAACATAATTAACATCATCAGGATAACTAAGTACAACAACAACCAAGCCTTAGCCCACTAGGCGGCGTTGCCTAATTATAGTAACTAAGTATTACACGAAAATATATCCAATAGTGAGTGAGCATTTCTATTAACACAACTTTCACAAATGTTGAAATCAAAATGCATCCATGTATGAAAAATTCAATGAAAATCATCATAAACCAAGTAATCAACACTCCATAGAAAAACTCTTCCCTAGAGTATCTTTATTTCAGAATCTCCTAAAGAGAAAATTTAAGGTTGCACTTTGACTGTACAAGTCTACAGTCTTGTTCAACCATTGAATGTAATCTAATTGATATTATAAAGGGAAAATCTCTGATAGAAGTCAAAAGTAAATGGCAGTGCCAAATTTCAAGCCAAACAGTATAAAGGAAAGCAACATAGTTCGCAAATAATTTTTTTTCTGAACTATAGAAAGTTGATGAATGGAAAAGTCCATAAATATCATATTTAGTTAGATATATAAACCGAAATGTAAAGCCAATCGGACACAAATTACATAGACATAAAAGTTAGAGTAGTTTGACATAGAAGTTATGAAGGAAGTACTCCATTAGGTACCCTACTCAGCAAGTGCAGATTTCATACTAGAATTCCAACTGAGAAAAAATATAAACAAAACACATGCTATGTTGTTATCTGTTGTAAATAGTAATTATGTAGTCATTTATTTGTATTTATTTAGTCCGTTACTTGTATATTGGGCCAAGCCCATTAGGTCAAAATTAGGTCAAGAAGTCTCTATAAATAAAGACCCCTATGTACAGATTCAAATACAAATCAATAATATTTCATAACTCCTGCACCTAATGAGACCCAACCTGCATTTCGTCTAGATGAGTTAGAACGGCTCCGAACCATCCTTGATTATCTGAGTAAGCCATCTGATACTAGTGCTTTGGCTTTGACTGGTATGAGCCCCAAAACTCATTCTTTCCTTTCTTCATGTAATGATTTTAAACATTCCTAGGTTGTTGATTTTGGTGCTACTGATCATATGGCTTGTTGTGCTGACTCCTTTGCTTCTTATCATCCTACCATTGGAACTCATACTATAGCCATAGCTGATGGCTCACATACATCAGTTGCGGGTTCTGGTGACATAAACTTACAGCAGTCCTTACATCTTAAAGATGCTCTTCATGTTCCTAAACTCTCCACGAATCTTCTTTCTATTCATAAAATTACAAAAGATCTGAATTGTACTGTAACCTTCTTCCCTACCCATTGTGTTTTTCAGGATCTTGCCACAGGGAAGACGATTGGTAGTGCTAAAGAGCAAGGTGGATTGTACTATCTGGTGTCACAATCTCCCGCAAATAAAGTAACAGATCACATCTTGATGTCTCATGGTCAATCAACTGCTGATTCTTTGATTTGGCTTCATCATAAGCGCTTGGGACATCCTCCATTTGGAAGGAGAGCCCTCAGGATCGAGAGCTTTGATACCAACTTGAAAAAGGGTTATGAAATATTATTGATTTGTATTTGAACCTGTACATAGGGGTCTCTATTTATAGAGACTTCTTGACCTAATTTTGACCTAATGAGCTTGGCCCAATATACAAGTAACGAACTAAATAAATACAAATAAATGACTATATAATTACTAATAAATGACTACATAATTACTATTTACAACATTATCAGATAATAAACTACATTCGCAATGAATCCAACCATACATATAGAAGTAAAATCTGTATCTTCTCATGAAAGACCACATATCATGAACAAGACAATTAATCCACAAGACTAAAACACTAGTCAAAAAGTACAACATACCGAAGGTAGTAGGAATCTGCGCGTCTAATTCCGACATAAAACTTGAGTCTCCAAGACAGAACGTCCTATCAACCAGATTTCTCAGACCTGAATTTACAATGAAATAATATCTGATCAAAATTAAAAATAAAAATAAAAATAAGCGCATCTCTCAGTTGCATCCGAATACACAAATTCTACCTGAAAGATCTTATCAAAACAATATTAAAAAAAAAAAACCCAAAAAAATTTAAGGTGCTGAGGAAAAAAAATCCGAGGTACTCAAAAGACAGAAAATTCCACATAAATAAAAGATCATAAGCCAAACCCTAAAATTACCGAATTTCAAAAAAGATTATCATAGGTTACCTGATCTTAAATTTAGGGTTTCGATACGTCAAAGATTGGGTTAAGATCCGAAACCCTAAATTGGAGAAGACTGAGCTGAGACTTCTATCGTTCTCTCTGCCTCTGCGACTATGATGTGACTTGTGAGGTTGTGTTTGAAAGAAAATAAAGTTATACGGAAAATACAAGGTGCACGTGACATTGCTTATAGAAAACGCAAGGTGCATGTGACATGCAAGGGCAAATGTGTAATCTCGAAAGAGGGTGTGAAACACACGCTCTACCTTTAGTAGATGATGACGCGTGTGTGTGTGAATTCTTCTTGTAGTGATATTGTGTATCAATATAGTACTCAGATTTTTTAGCTTCTTTTTTTCCCCATAAGTGAAACATGTTTTTCTAAAAAAAATATTATAATAAATAAAAAATAAAAGCAAATTTTTGATTAAAATATATACTTAAAATTTTATTTTTATTTGTCAATTTTATCCTTGTATATGTAAGTTAAAATGAATTAGAAATCCTAACTCAATTCGTCATATGTAACGAATTAAATATGAGGAGTTAAACTTATTTTGTCATATATAATTTACACCTCAATTTATATATAACTTACTTATTTTGTCATATATAATTTACACCTCAATTTATATATAACTTATTTATTAAAAAATTTAATGACAAATTAATAATCGATAATTAAAAATAAAAAGTTTTAAATTTATTTATTCTACTAATTAACCCCTCTTTAAGTTAAAATAAATAAATAAAGAAAACACATATATCCCCACCCAGCTATCATTTAAAAAATATGTATATATATTAAAAAAGTTGTTCGAATCCCCGTCACTGTCAGGATCCGCCATTAAATAAAAGGGCAAAGATGTGAAAGAAAGTGAGTGATACATACGTTGTTTATGCAAGAAAATTAACAAAACGAATTGAAAATACAAATATGCAAATATCAGCTAAGAAAATTAAACGTGAATAAAGTTGAAAGGTAATTGTTGTGGTAAGTGGTGACCCTTAGGTAAATGAATATAAAATCATAAATTGTTGACTGTGGACTATGGGTAACAAAAATAGCCAGCCCGACCCGAACTGAAGCCCACTAGTCTTGTGGGCCTTGACCCAAGGTGCAAATTCGCGACTTGTTCACTCGTGAACACTTCGCAGATCGCAGCAAAGCAAAGCTGAGTGAGCTCCGTCAATGGCTCCCGTTGCACCCCGATCAGGCGATGCGATTTTCGCGAACGTTGAACGCGTTGTAAGCAGACAAAAAACAAAACCCTCTTTATGCTCTGTTCGGTCGCCGAGAAAATAAAACTGCTGAAATCCCCAATTTAAACCTATAATAATTGCTTGATCGAGCTTATCAACTGAAAATTTTCTTCTTCTTCTTTTTTTTTTTCCTGTTCGTATGGTGGATTTAATCAATTTTATTTTCGTTTTACTTGAAAATATTAGTTTATGTTGATGTTCATGGAATCGTTATTCTGAGTTCGTAGTTTCCTCTTCCATTAGCAATTACTTTTGGATTGTGCAGAATGCGGAACTGTTTACTTTGACGTATGGGGCGATTGTGCGTCAATTGCTCACGGATCTGGAAGAGGTTGAGGAGGTTAACAAGCAACTTGATCAAATGTACAATTCTGAATCTCTTTTCGGAATTCAATTTATTTGGTTACTTGAATCTTCTGATGTCGTAAAGTTTGATATTTCATGTCTAATTTTGATGTTTGGTTGATTTTTTCAGGGGTTATAATATTGGAATCCGTTTGATTGATGAGTTTCTGGCTAAATCTAATGTCTCAAGGTGCGTTGATTTCAGAGAGACTACTGATGTAATTGCAAAGGTATTGTTTCGTCGTTTGGTTTCTTTACATGCTCGGGAAAAAGTATCTGAATTCTTAAAATTTATCCTTATTGTGGCGAAGCCTATGCAGAAGTTCTGCATTTCTGTTACCATGATCACAATGTTCATTTAATCTTTGTTACTGTCAACTTGTCCAGTGTTCCCTTAACTTGCTTGATTAGTAGTTCTTTCATTTTGCGGTACTTCCTTTTAGGACTTTGACTACTCATTGTGATCATGTTTGTATTGGTTTTCTTTGACTTTGGTTGGAGAGTTCCTGTGTTAAAGGTAACATAACTTTTAGTGGTTTGTGCAGTAGTCCAACATTATTAATTTGACAGGATAAGTTAGTTTGTTTCTTAAGTTGGAAAACATGTAGCCTGCAGTCCTTGCCAAATTTATTACTTGAGCTAGATGTGATTTTTTTTTAATAATCAATCGACCCATTTATAATTTGTGGCACACCAGCTTCTTTGTCTCTTGATAAATAGTAAAATTTTGTCAAAAAGAGCTTAAGTGTATGGCGGTATGTAGTTGTTTGCAGCTGAAGGAATGCTTGAAAATATAAATAAATACCTCAAAGCATATCAGTTGGCATTAATTTTCATTACTTGGCTTGACATGTCCAAGCTTCAAGGTTTTTATAACATTGGAAAACAGATTCTAATGTGAGACAACATGATAACTTTGGTTCTCTAACAGTCTAACTTGAACTGCGATGGTGTCCATGTGGCATAAGCTCAATGGGTGTAAGAGAAATGTCTTACTCTACGAGTACTTAAGAACTGAGATGATGTCCTTGTCAGCTGCAAACTCAGTGGAATCATTGCATTTTGTATATTATGTGGAAATTAAGAGACCTTGTTGTCTATGTTTGATTTGGTAAGCAAATACCTTTTGTACCAAATACAATCTATTTGATCCCTTATATGATGTGTTTCTAACATGTATGTTATAGTATAAATTTAAATTCTTGTGAACGCTAGCGAAAAAGAATTTTGTAAAAGATTATGAAGTAATTGATTGAAATTTTTTTTATAAGAAACTTTTTGTATATTTCTTTGGCTTCCTTGTTTAGATCTCTAAATTGTCAACCTTAATAGTGCTTTTACACAGGTTGGTTTTAAAATGTTCCTTGGTGTTGCTGCATCTGTGACCAATTGGGATGCTGATGGGACATGTTGTAGTATTGTTTTGGAGGATAATCCTTTGGTAGACTTTGTTGAGCTTCCTGACACTTGTCAAGGTCTGTACTATTGCAACATCTTAAGTGGAGTCATCAGAGGAGCCTTAGATATGGTAAATTTCTATTCCTATTTGTTACCTTTTTAAGATATTACTTCTCCTTTATAGAACTTTATCAACGTTATTTTTTATCAGTTTTTGTTTTCGCTTTAAATACTTCAAAAACTAAGAAAACATAATAGTTTGATTGCTGCAGCCTTTTGCTGTGTTCTTCTGAAATTTGAGTATTTTTTCAATTATATGAATTAGATTACTTGTATGTCTTTGTATGGTATATCCGTATATAAAATGGGACAAAGTTGATATCTATTTTTGCTTTCCAAGTTGCCATTTCTGTTCTTTATAAATCTTTCAGTATTTTCTGAAAGCAATTTTTTCAGCTCAATTCCTTTTATAGAGATGTATAAAGGAACTCAGTGTTTAACTTGAAATTTTCCATATTTAGGGCAAGTAGCTTGTCTAAAGTCTAAACCTTAGCACTGAATTCCATCTAATGTAATTTACAAACAACTTTATGATTATTAATTGTCCTGGAAGAAAATAAGCCTTGATATGCAATGTTCTGTTTCCTGTGATATCTTGGGGAACTGGGTGTCATGGTGAAGCGTAAAAGTTGTTTTCTACACCATATGCTTCGACCTTTTCTTTGTCAATCATGATTTCCTGGACATCCATTTTCAGGTGTCAATGAAGACTGAGGTCACTTGGATACGTGATGTACTTCGAGGTGATGATGTGTTTGAGTTGCAGGTAAAACTTCTCAAGCAAGTACCAGAAGAGTATCCATACAAGGATGATGAGTGACATTCTGTTTTGTAATCTTGTATACTCGAGGTTTTTGTTACTTCATCTTTTCCCAAGTATTAGACTATCATCTTTCTACCTTGTACTGTGTGTATTTTGACGAAACTTTGGATACGATAGAAAATCTTTGATTAAATCATTATGATATTAGCTTTGACAAAGGGCTGCAATCTATACTTATTTCTGAAAGCCCGCTAGATTTATATAACTGTTCTTAATGTCTTCCTCATTCTTTGTTATATGGACTTGACACAGATGTTTCACCTGTTAGATGATTAGCAAACAAATTTCATAATTCAAACTAACCTGGGAAGTTTGATATCCGGGTACTATTAGTGGTGATTTGATATTTGAATCCCCTGCTCTTTTGAACAAAGTTTCTCTGGATCTTGAATTTGTTTAGTATAAACTTCAGGCATCTAATTTTTTTTCTTCTTGTTTTGGTGTTGCAGAGACGCCATCTTTCATGTACTGATTTTGCTTTGCTAAAGTCTAAAGATAAAGAATTTCTCACAATATGTCGATGTGAATAATTAAAATGATTTAGATAAAAAAAAAAAATAGTGATATAAATAAAATTATGAGATTGTCATTACTCTTTTTTTGTTGAGATATATAGTCCCACATTGGTTGTATGTGCAACTAATGTGGAGTTTATAAGGTCTTGGGCACTCCCACCCTTTGAGCTAGCTTTTGGGGTGGTGTATCCCAAGGTTCTTTACATGGTATCAGAGCCTCGCCGTCCCCCACTTTCTCTTGTGGAGTTTCTTAGCACAGGTAGGCTGGGTCTGTTGCATTGTCTACGCTTCAAGCCCAAAGGGCTCTCGTGTGAGGGGGCGTGTTGAGATATATAGTTCCACATTGATTGTATGTGCAACTAATGTGGAGTTTATAAGGCCTTGGGCACTCCCACCCTTTGAGCTAACTTTTGGGGTGGTGTATCCTAAGGTTCTTTACATTTTTAATGGTTTGTTGGGAAAACAATCTGTGGATGGGAGGAAATAAAATTAAGTGATTTATTATTAATTTTCATTTTGCTCTTGTCTCATTTCTTAACAATGACTTACGGTGGAATAGGAAAATGACAAGTAAAAATGCCATTTTGACTCTTCTTTTAACTATCATGGAAGGTGGGATATTAGTGGCAAACAAGGTCATCTTATCAACACACACACGCACAACCAAAACAAGCAGATAACTATTTTATATTCCCATATGAAGTTTTAGCATGTGCAGATTGTATCCATTGGGCAAATATGGGTTCGATCAAATTATAATTAAATTATTTGGATGTTCAAGTTAAAGATAAAAAAAGTAAAGATACAAGATACACAATCTTATCAAGGATGAAAGAGAAGAATGACACATTATTTTTAAGAATTCTTTTGTACTGAACCTAATTAAAATGTTTTTGAATTTTTATCATATGCTTATTTCAGTCTCTATATTAATTTTGATGAAATTTTTGTGAACTTCAAAAAAAATAAAAATAAAAAATAATCTTTTCAAACTTTGGATCTTATGCGACATATTAAAGAGTCAAAAGACTAGTTAAGTTTTTTTAAATGTGCAAAAAAAATTCTCTATCTAACGGAACTTATTTGGCTAATGAAAGTCTTCACATGAACATCACTAACTGAAATCAAATGATGTGGTACAATATTTTAGAAAAAAGAAACTCTCATTGAATCTCTTAATAAGCATATGTTAAATGAATTAGCTACTAACTTTTTTCCCCCTTGGGGAAGAGTATAAAGTGGAATACAAACCGATTTTCCTCTTTCGCATACGTTTAAAAGTACTATGGCTAACAATACAAAGTCTAGTAGCAAATCTCTAAGATGCTAATAAGCACCGAATTGTCATAACCTCCAAACAAAAAGACACATTCAACACCAAAATAAATAAATAAAAAAGCACTAAAACTAAGCTCTTCTAAGTGGCTCAAAGAATGTCACCTCTTAGCAAATTTCGAAAGCTAATATATTATAAAGATTGAAAGGTGGAAGTTCAGGGGAATCTCCAAGTGCAAATTCGCCTTGTACTGAACAAGAAACCCAACAATATAAAAATAAGAGCGAAAAACATAGAACTTGGCCAAATCAAACCTACGCAGCAAATACGAAGGACGGCAGCATATTTACTAATACTAAATTACATTCCCTCATTACATATGGCAAAAAATTATAGACTTTCATCATTGTTTAAACTAAGAGTATTCTACTCCATCACATTGGTTAAAAATAATTGTTTGAATTTCAAGATTAAAATTTCAATCCTTAAATAAGTATCTTTAGAGAGATCTTTCATATTTATCACATTCGAGTCAAAATTACGAAAACAATGTATATATTTAAAAATAAATAAAAAATTAGGAACATATATATATATATGTGATAGAATAATGAACCATTGCTCAACAGTTAGTGTTATCGGCATGTGATTCTGAAGTCAAAAATTCAATGTAATGAGTGTGACCCTTCCCTTAAATAATCGCAATTTTATGCCACCACGCGGACAATGAATGAACGTGATAGAATAATTGATAATATCTTTGTAGTTTTTTCGGCTAACATGGTATGAGTGAAGGCAAATACATATTTATTGAGATTTATTCTCCGGTTAGATAACTTATTTACCCTGAATCCAAAACGACCTCATTTTTTAGGTAGAAATCAAGGTATTTTTGTAATTATAATTTATTTCAGGATTATAAAAGACTTTTTCATTATGATTTTTTAATTTTTTAACGTCGTTTTGGGAGCAAATGTAGATAACTTATCTACCGTAGAAATATTAAATCCTTATTGAAAACTGTTGAGATCTATAGTCCCATGTACATTGGTTGTATGTGCAACTAACTAATGTGGAGTTTATAAGGTCTTGGGCACTTTCACCCTTTGAGCTAGCTTTTGGGGTGGTGTATCAGAGCATCGCCGTCCCCCACTTTCTCTCGTGGAGTTTCTTAGCGCAGGTAGGCTGGGTCTGTTGCATTGTCCACTCTTCAAGCCCAATAGACTCTCGTGTGAGGGGGTGTGTTGAGATCTATAGTCCCATGCACATTGGTTGTATATGCAACTAATGTAGGGTTTATAAGGCCTTGGGCACTCCCACCCTTTACCTAGCTTTTGGGGTGGTGTATCCAAGGTTATTTACAAAAATTAAAACAAGAAATGGAAGGTTTGGAATGTGACCCTGGCCCTACGTAACAATGCAAAGGCAGGGAGACACTTCCAATGAACATGCCTTAGAAATATCGAATCATTGCCTTATTAAGTTGGCAATAATTCTTGACCAAATTCAATCGGCTACACATCTTTTTCCACGATAGTAACAAGGGTATGATTCTTTGCAGGTATGTAGAACTGCAAGAAGACAAATTAACAGTGACCCCATAGAATTATGTGCCGGGCTAATTAGCTTGGTGGAACCACAATAACAAACAAACACCACATATGAAGTGTTAATTTGAATAATATATTGGTCCGGCCAATCCATTCTCATCATACTATATGATATCAAGAACGGCTTTGTTTGTAAAAAGACAATAGTAAGAGCCACTTGTTGGCGGCTGATTTTCAGCTTAGCTAAGAGAATCTGATTGTATATATATATAAAAAGTGTTTTCAAGTGTTTTTACTGAGATTGGTGATAAGGGTTACTGAATCTTGAAAAAACAAAATAAAGGGGTACCTCTCCATTGGGAGGGTCTAGGGAAAATGGGGAACAATAGCATATTTCGTTATGCTGATGGAGTGGACAAGTTGTTGATGTTCTTTGGGACTCTGGGTAGCCTTGGAGATGGGTTGCAGAACCCTCTTATGATGTACATTCTTAGTGATGTGATCAATGCCTATGGAGACAAGAATAGTTCTTTGACACAGCATAGTGTGAACAAGGTGAGCTTGTTCAATAAAATCTGTACTAAACACAATTTTGCTGGAAAGTGCTTTTGTTAAATTTTTAGCAGTTGTTTAATTTAGAACTTAAATTTGTTAGGTGAAATTTTGAAAACAATTTTTATTTATGTCTCTAGCACAGACTTTATTTAAAGCCACTAGTAATGCAAAAAGGATGACATACATATTAAATTAGAGTAACCATTATCTTGTTTTAGTATATGGTTCTGCACATTAATCTGTTTTTTAAGTACAGCATCTAAACGGCACGTAAATATGTTGCACTTGAGACATTATCTTGATTTTTGGGACATGATCACTTGAGATTGCCACTTCACTTTCCTTTTTTTTTTGTTCAGTTTGCATTGAGGCTTTTATATGTTGCAATTGGAGTTGGAGTTTCTGCTTTTATTGGTAAGCTAACACTTCATAGCTCAGTTACCGTCCTTGCAGAACTTATGTTATCTTGGAATTCATAAAAATAGCATGGCCAACATTAGAGAAAAATAAATCTAAATACTTTTCTTGCTTTATGTCAATGGACACTGGCTACTACAGAAGGAATATGTTGGACAAGAACAGCCGAGAGACAAGCTTCCAGAATGAGAATGGAATACCTAAAATCAGTTCTAAGACAAGAAGTTGGTTTCTTTGACACACAGACTGATGGTTCTTCAACAACCTACAAAGTTGTCACACTCATCTCCTCGGATGCAAATGCAATACAAGTTGCCTTGGCTGAGAAGGTTTGCCTGCAGTTATGCCTTTCCCTCAAACTTGCTTGGAATGCAATTATAATATATGTAACACAATATTTAATTGTTTATTAATAGAATGGAGGCAGTGAGGATCGAACTTGTGACCACTTGGTCACAAAGGATCCAATACCATATAAAACGCCAATTCAACCCAATAACTTAAATTGTTAGGTGAAGGTCACATTAATAGTTTTATAGTGAAAAAAAGCTATTAGCATTGTAGAGAGGTGGACCCATTATTTTCTATGTTGCAGATGACCCTTTTAGTCTTATTTTCTATATTTATTTATTTATTATAGGCAAAAGTATTTCTGTCTTTGCTGCAGAAAAATTTTGTCCGCCACAGACACATTTTTACTAGGATCTAACATCGGATTCTGGTTTTTTTTTTTTAAATAAAATAAAATAAGGATCCGTCGATGGATCGTGGTGAATTATGTGTCTGTGACAGATAAATCTATCTATCACAGCTGCAGAAAAATGGAACCCTTTATTATATATTCTTTCTTGTTTATTTTTCTTACATCTTAATTTG